GACAGGGATGGGGACATGGGGACATGGATGGGGACACTGAGGATATGGGGGGACATGGGCACAGGGGGAGGGGACACAAGGGAGGACAGAGGGGACATGTGGGGACATGGGGTGGGGGACACAGGCTAGGCTGGGGACATGGGGACATGGAGAGAGGGACATAGAGGACAGGGGGACATGGGGACATCAGAACATTGGGGAGGGACACGGAGATGGAGACACAGAGGTGGGGACACAGGGGATGCCATCAGGGAGATGTGTCCAGGGGACAGAGGACACTGCTGGGGACAGCACTGGGGCACGGCCAGGGGACACAGAGGGGACAGGGGACACAGAGGGGACACCACCAGGGACACAGCCGTGGGGATGGGGAGGTGAGAGGGGGACGTGGACAGGGGACACAGAGAGGATGGGGACGTGGGACAGGGACGTGGGGCCACGGGGTGACAGGGACATGGATGTGGCCAGGGGACACAGAGGGGACAGGGTGACAGGGTGACAGGTACCGGTGTCCCCAGCTGTCACCCGGCTGCTGGGACAGGCGGAGGTGACGGTGACGCGGTTCCTCGGCCAGCTCCTCTGTGTCACCGGCATGGTGTCACCTCCCTGAGGTGGCACTGTCCCCCCAGTGTCACCTTCTCCCTGTGTCACCTCCCCACCATGTCACCCACTCCATAGTGTCACCATCCCAGTGTCACCTCCTCCCATTGTCACCTCCCCAGGTGGCACTGTCCCCCATTGTCACCTTCTCCCAGTGTCACCTCCCCACCATGTCACCCACCCCATGATGTCACTGTCCCATGGTGTCACTTCCCTCTGGTGTCACCTTCCCAGTGTGTCACTGTCCCATGGTGTCACCTTCTCCCAGTGTCACCTCACCGTGTCACCCACCCCATCATGACACCGTCCCACAGTGTCCCCTCCTTCCACTGTCACCTCCCCAGCATGTCACTGTCCCGTGGTGTCACCTCCCCACAGTGTCACCCACACCACAGTGTCACCATCCCAGTGTCACCTCCTCCCATTGTCACCTCTCTAAAGTGGCACAGTCCCTCATTGTCACCTTCCCACCATGTCACCCACCCCACGGTGTCACTGTCCCACGGTGTCATCCCCCCACAATGTCACCTCCCCATTGTCACTCACCCCACCGTGCCACTGTCCCACAGTGTCACCTCCCCATCATGTCACCCACCCCATGGTGTCACCACCCCAGAGTGTCACCTTCCCATCATGTCACTGCCCCACGGTGTCATCTCCCACAGTGTCACCTCCTCCCATTGTCACCTCC